AGGAGCTCCACTCTTCCCCCTCCCACTCCTCGTCGTCTTTCCCTCCCCCCTTTCCCCAGTAGTTCCCTCGGGGGCCTTTTATGATTGTTAGTGAGTTATACTAGCGAGAAAGTAAACTTTGGGTACTACGCAGGTAATGACGCCCATTTTGGGGATTGGGGCCCGTGTGTGCATGTAGATTAAGTTCCCAAAGTTTCAGCCCTGCAGCTTTTATAGATCTTGAGATGAAAAATCGGTGCACATACATCGAACAGATGATAGTATTAACTAAAGAAATTCCGCTTCTTCGCACACTTTTATACTTATGTTCATTGTTTTTCTAAAAAACAAAGCAAATTTCTTTGTTTAGGTTGTTTGTGCGAATGCTGCAGCGGCTCGTCAAACTGTCAGCGAAGGCTTTAAGCGTGACGATGAGAAATACAAGGTGATCCGCGAATTTTTTTTATGATAAATGCGTTTTTTAGCTCATTTTTTACCACTTTTGCATTAATGCCACCTGAATTATTACTTCCAGTAGTCCTGTTTGTGTTTTTTGATTTATTAAAGGACTATATGAATTTCCTCCAGGTAAAATGTTGAAAATTGCTTTTTAGGATATTGACGAGAAACTTGCAAAAGCAGATTCTTTGTTGAAAAATCAAAATTTGGCAGGCGTTGATATCGTCTCGAGAATGAAAATTCAAAACGGAATGGTATGAATTCCAGATTTCGCAGCGCAAGCAAACTAAAGCATGGCCATGTGGCCTTTATCAGTATATGTTCTGCTCTATAACTGCGAAAATACATAAAAAAATTAAAATTAAAAATAAATTTTTTCGTAAAATTAAGAAGAGTAATACATATTAAAACATCTAAATTATCTTTGTTACCATAATCGTCGTGCTGACGAGGTTCTGTTGTGGTAACGGTAAGAAATGTATACGGCTTAATTTTACCGAAACATTTCTTACCTATTACGAATATTTCCGTACTCCCATTCCTTTTTTCCCCTTCGTTTTTCCCCTTCATATTTCTATCTCATCATTTTCCACCTTATCCTTTCAAAAATAAATAAAGATCGGCTTATCAGTAAAATCAAAAATTTCAAGCTCGCCAAAAAAAACCTGCATTTAATCAGCTGTTGCAAAAGCATAAGCGCTATTGTGATGGATGAGTTGACGTGGATTTCACGTAAAATTTGATGCAGAGCTAGGAAAAATCCACTTTTACTTCGAATACACAAATGAGATCGCTTCTCCATCCCTTCCGTTTTGGTGATATATAAGGAAATGGAGGTTGTTTTTAACTTGCTTCTCAAGCAGGGCAAACCAGCGGCAAACAGCCTGGACAGAGTGCTTTCAACTGTAAAGAATATCTATTATTCGTTGAATTAAAAACAGACACCAAAAATACCAAGGCCACGCAGGTTATCGTTATGGATATCCCACACTGACATAGGCAGATCCGAGGTGATCTTCTGGGCTGGAAA